ATGATTTTTCCCAAAATCAAGCAGCCCTACTATTATATATGTATTTTTAAGTACCAAAAAAATAAATAAAAATCTAAACGCATGCTTAAAATTCCAACATAATAGTGTAAATAATTAAAATAAATAACTTTAAATAATTATTTAAATTTTGCTCACTCGCGCAATCTGCTTGTCAACGTGTCGTAAAGGCAAAATCTAAACAAAAATGGCAGACAAACGTAAATGCAGGGATTCTTCAGAGGGGAAGAAAAAGATTAGACAGTATGACAAAGCCTACCTAAATTTTGGTTTTATTAAAGGCCAAGACAAGTTAAAACTGATTAATTAATATTTTCTATACATATTACTATATATTAATATTACACAAACACACACACACACACACACACACACACACACACACACACACACATATATATATATATATATATATATATATATATATATATATATATATATATATATATATACACACACACACAGTACATATGTATGCGCGTGCGTGTGTATTTATATGGTGGGGGGGCTCCAATGTTTGTATATCTTCATGGGGGGGCTCCAAAGAAAAAGGTTGGGAACCACTGCTATATAGCACTTAAATAGCACTTATGTATTTAAAATCATTTCTAATTATATTTTTATAATAAACATTTAATTTGATGAAATTACAGATAAAATTATAATGCTTTAATATTGTACATTGTTTTTTTACATTTCTTAATTTTTATTGTCATTGTAAGTAGTTACAAAAAATGGTTGAGAAATATTATGTTAAGATTTTTAATTTTTATAAAATAGCAACTCTTTTTTTATTTCTTAAAAAATAGCATACGCATTTTGAACATATTATGGTTGTTAATAAAAAATGATGAAATACAAGGAAAAAAGTTAGTGTTCAGACTGTCTTGTTTTTTTTAACTGCCAAGCGATTGTAATGAATCTGTCAATGTGCTACATTTGAAATTAATTTTACAATGCATTATCCCTTCAAAGACATCTATAATAACCACTCCAGTACTCATTAATTCTATCCACTGACAAGCATCCAGCAATACAGCTTCAAATAACACTTCCTGTTGCGAATGAAGTTGACTGTAACAAATGTTGCCACAATCAACACATCATTTGTTTGGGGAAATTTGCCTGCTCTCTGACAAACATGGTAAGCCTGTGTGGATCTAATTTGACCTAAAAACAAGCCATCCTATTAGCGATCGCTCTAATTGAATGGAGTGATATTGCTGGCCTTCTGCATGGTTTTGCAGCAGTGATGAACACAGTTGCTCCATGCGTAGGAGGCGAGCATCAGCTGGCTTCTCTCCTAGCAACTACAAGTCCTTGAGCCCTTCTGTTTACAAAATGCCGGCACACACGGAGGTGCATGAACACAGTTGGCCCACTCAAGCCTGGCCACAGTTATTTGCATCCTAATGTGTAACTTTCAATCGCAATAACAGGCATTTAATGAGCCACTCAAGTCTGTCTGAGAGAAACGGATACAACTGGTGTGGCCTTATTATTGGTTTTACTGGGCTGTACTGAGGCAAACACTGGCTCCTCCCTAATTAATTTAGATAGACGAGATTATATGGTCTACCTACATTGTCACTTAATTGGAGACTATTGACTCATTACACGTGGCAGATTTAAAGTCTGCGTGAACTATAAGCTACTGAGACTTTTATTTGAGTATGTTGATGTACTTCTAAGTGAAAACTGAATATGGAATAGAGGGTGGGGCTTTCTTTTTGTGGATCAATGTTTTGTTTTAAACTAACAGTAAGAGGGGCATGATTAAGAATATTGTGGCTGAAACCATTAAACGCAGAAGCAAATTATCAAACTTTAATTGATTTTTTGCTCCATTTTTTTAAATTAATATGCAGCTAAAGAATAACAATGTTCCTTCATTCATTCATTTTTTTTTCAGCTTGTTCCCTTTCTTAATCAGGGGTCGCCACAGCGGAATGAACCGCCAACTTATCCAGCATATGTTTTACACAGCGCATGCCCTTCCAGCTGCAACCCATCACTGGGAAACATCCATACACAAATTCACACTCCTACACTACAGACAATTTAGCTTAACCAAATGACCTGTACCGCATGTCTTTGGACTTGTCTGGGAACCTGGAGCACCCAGAGGAAATCCACGCCAACACGGGGAGATGCAAACTCCACACAGAAATGCCAACTGACCCAGCCGAGGGTTGAACCAGCAACCTTTTTGCTTTGAGGCTAACATGCTACCCACAGCACCACTGTGCAGCCCAAAATAACAAAGTGTGCTAGCAAAAAAAAAGATTGAAATTTTTGATTTCATGCAGACTTTGGGCTGTGTTTTAATGATCTAGGCACAAAGTTTTCATTAAAGCATTAAGGACGTGTATACTTCTGCTATTTTAAGGATAAAAAAATACCATTTGCACCCCGGCGTATGCTCTTACAGGGTTGTGCTTATTCTCTTAATAAGTTATGGGTGTGTTTTGAGCATAACGTGCAATAAACCAACCAGAGAAGCATCTCCCATTCCCTTTTAAAGTCAGTTATGTCTCGCCATTCATTTGCTATTTACATGGGAGACTTTGTAATTGGAAAAACTGAAAGCTTCATTAGCAAGAAAACAGTTAAACAAACACTCTGCGCTTAGACTAAAATATAAGCTTCCTCTATTCAGCCTCTTTACTTTACTTTTACTCTTTACGTTACTCCTTTACTTTCGTGGATAAGGAAACATGTTGTACGCACTCCACTGAAGACATTCAATAGCCAACATATTTAATTTTAAGCAAGATTCGCTCAAAGATTTGTTTCAAAACTATTTTTAAATTCATTTCCAATTTCCATGACCCAAATAAATGAACAATAATAACGAAGTGTGGTCAAAAAACTGAGTTATATCCAAACACAGGTCCTATTTTTATGCCCGATTTAGTGATGCCAAAACTCGACAAATGGACAAATCTAAAATGTGTTTTGTATTAAAACAAATATAAATACTTATATAAATAATATATACTTATACTTATATAAATAAATAATACTGCTAACGATAACATTATACAAAAGTAAGTTGTCATGAATAAACTGAAAAAAGCCACCTGAGATGGAGGCAGTGGTTATATTTATATAGAAAATAAAAGTTTTTGTAACGTTTTAATCCTTTATTCTTTTCAGATGTAAAGATATTTACGTATTGCAGTAAATCCTGTGTGTATTAAGCAATGTGTACGTGTTTGGACCCTCATAGGCGTTTGGACCTTCATTGCTCAGTGGCACAGTTTACGTGCCAACAATGCGCCTTTACACCTTCTTTTTAGACCAGAACACCCATGAGTCTACAAAGTGGCAAATTTGCTTTTTAAACAGAGCGGCACAAAATGTGAAGATTACTGTTGTGCTGGTCTGAAAATAGTAACAAATTGTACCATGCATGTCTTGCGCCTTCTTGCACCTTGAGTGTAAGATAGGGCCGTTTAAGTTTAGTCAACACACTGGAAAAAACTATTTGTATAGACAAAAAATGGTTACAAACGTGGAACCTTTTCTGTTAAACACAAATTAAGTTTTTTTTTTAAATATTGGAAACTTGTAACTATTGATATATTCTAGTATTTGTTTTTCCTACTATGGAAGTCAGCGGTTTCAGGTTTCTAACATTTTTAGAAATATCTTCTTTTGTGTTCAAAAGAAAAAGGAAACTTATAAAGGTTTGGAACCACTTGAGAGTAAATAGTGAGTAAAGTATAATTTCATTTTTGGTAAACTATCACTTTAATATCATTTGAAAATTTAGCTTAAGCTACAAATTTGTTACAAATTGCAATGAGGTTTTTTAAAATAAAGTGTTAAGAAAATAAAAGATTTAATAAACAAAGGATCACAGAAAAGAGTTTACTTCCATGGCAGAATAAGGTGAACACAATCTATTCAATATTTTATAGAATGGACATTTTAACAAAGTGAAATATTGCATTTTCACAGTTACCAACACCATAACTAGTAATCATCATAATCTGTTGTTTAAAATGTAATCTACATTTAAAACATTGCACTTTGCATTTTATTACCTGGCATTAATATACAGTTTTTTTTATTATTATTACAGAAGTTGACTGCTGCATGAATGTTTTCTGGATAAAGAGCAAATTTGATGAATCATTGTTGTTTTCTTTCTATTGGGGTAAATAAAAAAATCCAAAGCTATATTTATTCAGTTATTTAGTTATTTCGTTTCGTTTATAATTTAATATAAATATTTAACCCATGCTGTGCAACTCAACTATTCTGGCTTTGGTTTCAGAAAAGCCTGGAGATGATTTCATGAGTAATTTGTGGTTGCTATGGTGTTGTTAAGGCATTCTGAGAAGTTTAGCCTGTTGCTCTGTGGATTACAGAGCATTCTGGACATAGATAGCCCATGTATACACAGATGCCACATGATGACACCATCTATGATCCATGCGATGCCACTAACAGTACATTTAAGAAGCTTAACACTTTCCAGGATGCAAAACATTATGCAACCTCTGACTGCTAAACTGACTGCATTCTAGCATCCCTATAAAAAGTGATTATGTTTTAACTCAACATTACGCGTAATTAAATATAAATGTTGCGGCACAGGGGCTCAATGGTTAGCACTGTCACCTCACAGCAAGAAGGTCGCTGGTTCAACTCCTTGGCAATTTTGTGTGGAGTTTGCATGTTCTGCCTGTGTTTGCGTGTTTTAGTTTCCCCGTGTTTGGGTTTAGATAGATAGATAGATAGATAGATAGATAGATAGATAGATAGATAGATAGATAGATAGATAGATAGATAGATAGATAGATAGATAGATAGATAGATAGATAGATAGATAGATAGATATTACAAGAGATTCAGGTTTAAATCACAACTCGTAACATGACATTAGCCACACCTGTTACATAAAACAAAAACGATTATTCTAAAATCTTACATTGCTGTGTGAAGAATGATGCCCCATATGGTTTTGCGGAAGTATTTTGGCGGAAGCTACGGTTACCATGGCAATTATTGTCAGGCTACCGATTCCACTTCATAAGTCCGGTAAACGGGAAAAACACCAATTTTATCTATATTTCAAAGAGGGAAGAATGAAGACACAGCACATAAACTTTCAAATTCACATCCCCGATCGCCATTGCAGCATCATCTGAGCTGTGATGATGAAGGAGCCAGGAGGCGGTGTCTGATCAGAGCCCAACATTAAACATATCTGACGTCTATATCTCCATCATCATCATCATCATCCTCGCCTCTCAATGTCCAAATAACTCTTTGCATTTCCGTGCTATCGCTTTTTCCTCAAATTCACGTTTTTCGCTCGTTTACCCTCTGAACGTCTTTAGGGATCTGAAGTTTGCCTCAGTTTTGCGCAACCGGTGTGTGAACTCGTGTGTGAAACAGCCCGATCCGATCGCTGTCCACCAGGCGTAATTGTGTTGACAACAGGGGATTCATATGAGCGTACCTCCGGTAATCCGACCGCCGAGCCCCCTCCCGGGGTCGCAAGGCATTTCTTTCCAAATCCAGATCGGGTTGAGCCGGGAACCCGTCCTGCTGGACTCCGGCGAGTTCAGCCTGGCGCAAGTCCGAGAGATGGCATGCTCCATCGTGGACCAGAAGGTAACACTTTCCATAATCCTCATGTTTCATTCATTGTCGTTCACGTAAAAGTGCCACAGATTTCATCACCCTGAACAAGAAGTGGCGGTCCGGAGTTTGGAAATAGCCCAACTTTTAGCCCACTTGTTACTTAAGCATTTATGGGAATTTGGAATTTCGTTCCAACCTCACATGACGTTAAGTTACGACGAACTTGAATGCTTTATTAAAATATTGCTTTTCATAGGCTATATCATCCGTTTATGTCTATAAATTTATGAGCCTATTATATTTAGTAATGTATAATTTAGGATTCTGCTACAGGTTTACAACTGAGCTGTAAACTTTCAAAAGACAGAAAATTGCATTGAAATTGTTTTTAATTACTGATAGAACATTATTTACTTCATAACCTGAATCAGCTGAAACACACTGAATGTGTAGCGTCATTAAGTGTTCTTCATTGTATTTTCCATTGACAGTGATGACGTTTTGTAGCCTACTTATTGAGCCAGTGAGGGGCTTGTAGCCTACTAGAACACAGCATCACTGCACTGCAGGCCTGTCTCTTGTGCTGAAACCTTTCAAAAATATTTAGTGGATTCTGTCCTCAAGTTGTTGCTTCTATATTTGGAAAATCTCATTATAATAGATGATTATGTTACAGTGTATATCAGGGCAAGTAAGGACTTTTTTTTGGCTCACCAGTATAATGTGGCATTGAACCAAAATTTTGGTTATTAATTAAACGGAATAATGTGAGAACTGTTTAATCAAACAGATTAAATTGATTGAATATACCAAGCTAAAGCATAATAACTGCTGCTAAGTGCTTTTCTGCTTTTCTAATAAAGCAATGTCAAATTTACACTAGAAGTTCATAAATATCAGTTATGAAATTGGCATTGAAAAGATCACCCAAAAATAATGTCAAAGGTGACATTCACCCTCTATATAACAATATTGATGATTTTTAGCTGTAATAGTTTTCTTTGATTCATAACATACAAGTCAATGGGTAAAGCTACATATATAGGCAAAACATTACCCAGACTGACTGACTGTTTACACAGTTCACGCTCAGGACCATTTACAATGGCTGTGGATTGAAAGTAATTATGCTCAGTTTTTTAAACAGAAGCTGTGGAGTTGTGTAGATTTGCTGTATATCTTTTTACTCTTGAAGTGCTGATTGGCTTGAAATTTATCAATAACCAAAGTCACATCTTGGATAGCCTAAGGATGAGAATTAATAACAGATTTTCAATTCTGCTGGAACTATCCACCAAAAAGCAATTGATTTCTGCTGAGTGGTATAATAGGTGATCTAACAGAATGTTAACTTGAAATGGAGCTTGTAGAATAAATGCTGTGAAAATATAGTTTCTATATTACTACTAGAAATATAGTGTATATAAGTTTCTACTTGAAATAAAGCGTTTCCCAAATCCATCATTCCGACGAACAATCGCAAACTGCATCGCAGACTTGTATGCTTGTAATTACACCTCTAGAGCTGATGTTATAAGCATAGTTCCTGGATGTGTTCTATTCCAAGTTATCCCCCCCATGCCCTATTCCTTTCGAACGTTCCATCATTCAAAGTTGGAATCATTAAAAAAAAGCATTAATGTCATCTCTCTTAGGTGTAGTTTAGTTTCAAATATTTTTGCAGTTCAGTTTTAGCAATCTTTACATTGACAATTGCGTTCCCTTTTTAATGCACTTTGAAAACATTGATGCCACTTTGAACGCAGCCGAGGCTCATGATGAAAGCTATAGGTGACCTATTATTTAAAAACAGAACTTAGGTTTGGTCTCTGAAGCTTGTGGAAACAAAAATATATAGCAAACGTTAATGCTTTTAATTTATAATAGGTTATTTACTAAGAAATGTATCTGTACTGTATATGACATGGGCCTGTTGGTTAGAACATTTCTGCAGTGGTTTGAATGTGTCGTTGTAAAAGCAGACTTTACTATGCATCTTACTATAATAGTTCAGCCGCAAGTTATGTCGTGGTTTGGGAAACACACCCCTGTTCATTAAAAAGTGGCTTATATTTGTTTTTCCTCACAAAAGTAACTATAGAAGATTTGAAATATAAGAGAAGGGAGCATAGGTAAATATAGTTTTACCCATCTTCAAAATTGGTCCTCTGCCAGGACTGGGTGATTAATCGAAAAGCAATTGAAATCCACATTCAAAACCTGTAATCGTTCTAATTTTTCCAGGTCAATTTTTTACATTACTTTTCCTAGCTCTTTTTTTTGACTGTTCTTTTTAGGCAATGTGTGTTTAACTGTACTTTCAACTGTTTTAAAATCAAGTATGCACCCTTCATTTTAATATAATATGTGAGCATATTTATTGTACATAACTTGTCAGTGAACTATAAGGGCAAAAAATAAATAAATAAAATAATCTTTCATTATTGTAAATGACTTAAATTTAAGATTTAGATTTTAGGCCAAATCGCCTAGCTAGGCATGGGCCGGTATAAGATTCTGACGGTATGATAACCTTGGATATAATATCACGGTTTTACAGTATCACAATATTGTAATTACTGCTCTAAAATAATTTATATTTTAAATGTCTGGGTATAAAAAAAAAAAAAAAAAACTTTTTCCCCTTTGTACACAATATATTTTAATTTGGGAAACATTTAAAATATTTTGGAACAGTAAACATATCAGGCTATATGAATTATTGACTTCTGCTGTCTTCATCTTTTGGGATCTTTTCTGCTGAGATACTGCTGTCCTAAAACACAAAAAATTTTTTTAAATCTTATTCATACCTTAGGAATGGTATAGCAGAAATTTTGACGGTTTTAAAACCTTTACCTTTCGAAAACCGCGGTATACCTTGAACACGGTTATCGTCCCATGCCAACGCCCAGCCATATCCCCTGCCTTTAACCTATTTAAGTATGAACATTGAAAGCATTGGGTCTAGTTGTGTTAAATAAGCATTCTGATAAAAAAATGAATATGGCGTATAGTTGTTTTTTCCTTTAAAGCATTTGGAATAACATGAAGGTGAAAGTCAAAGCTGAAAACATGTGAACTCACAAGCACTTAAGAGTAATGATAAAGTTCAAGCCTTCTCTGTAGATTCGCGTTCTCAGAAATGGCATAACAGTGACAACACAGAAGTCAAATTGTCACCACCCCTTTTAAATGCACAGAAGATGGCATCTGTAAAGTTATTAATATCTTTTTTTTTGCAAAATGTGTTTTCTGTTTCGTAAGCACCTGTTTCTGACACATCCTCAGAATGTTACTAGCTCCAAAAATATTACTTATTGTGCGCATCTTGCAAAGTTTGTGACAAGACGCGAGGTGTTGACAACAACATAATTTCCCACCATTATCAAACGTTGTTTTCTTCCCAAATTTCCTTCCCTCCCTTGTGGCTCCCTAGTTTATTCGGTGACACAAGTGCAGAGGTTGCAGTCTGTTGTGTTTTAAGACATGCAGGTGTTAAAACACAGAGCCGTATTTTGATAAGCATAACAACAACAAGCATCATGTGACGCTTAACAAGAAACACCTTTTATTTTAGACCTGTCATTGCCAGTATGAGTTTTGGAAAACAGAAGTTCTTGTTTAAATGTATTTGACTTGAAAAAATGCGACCTGCAACCTGAGCTCCTTCAACGCCTTGTATACACGTTTTCGGATTGGGAGGCTCTCTTGAGGATAAGCACTCTGAGCATTTAACACGTTAAATAGTTCGATGTGAGATGTCGAATAAGTGTGTACGAGGTGAAGGTGACATTGTTGTGCAGACAGTCTCCAACAATGGCGTGCATATATTGTTTGGGAGCATGCACTAGGATGTGCTAGTTGGATTGGGGGGGGGGTGTGTTTAGTTTTGTCTATGAGGAGTAGTACTGTGCTCTTTTACAGATGTTTATATAGAGAAGAACATGTAGTTCAAACGCAAGCACAATTCAGACAACATGTCACTTTGTGAATCACACTTCACTTCTTTCTTTTATTGTTACATACAGGGCAAGTCTGATGTGTGACAACATGTGTGACAACAGATGAATATAATCCCAACAATAGAACTGTTCAGTTGGTTCATATGTTACATTCCCCGTTGTATAACAAATACGGATTCATCTTTAAAGGAACAGTGACAATCATTCACACAAACATCATGTTGTTTCAAACCTGCACTATTTTCTCTTTTCAGTGGAACACAAAAGGAGGCATTTTAATAATGTTCTCAATGGTCTATTCAGTGTAATTACAATGAATGGGGATTGGTGCTTTTAAACTTCAAAACTGATGCAAAAGCTCTATAAAATGCCATGAACATAATAAAGTAGTATATATAACATGCATGCCATAGTCCATATGATATGATAGCTTTAGATCTTTAGAATCATTGAGTCAATGAGTACGTTTACATGGTCACCAAAAATCTGATTTTATTATAATCAAGACATTACTCTGATTAAGAGTCTACCATGTAAACAGCGATTTTTGATTACCTTAGTCCAACTAAAGTCATAATCCATTAAAAAGAAATCGGATTAAGACATGTGGAGCATGCCTGTTTTAGTGACATTATTGAAGTGCAGTACAGACATGTAAATATCGCAATCAAACTATTACGGTCGTGTAGGATTTTCACTGCATTTTGTGACAGGGTATTCCATACACACACTGCTGTTTGACACCTTTCTCTGCACCTACCGAGTCAGTAAAGAACCACAGACACCCGCATCACAAAATTCCCAGTATCAAATTCCATTAAAATAACTCTCTTCCACCATTCCTTACTTCTTACGCGCATCCAATACCTCAGTTTGTCATGGGGGGACATGCATGAAATGTTTCTGAATTAAATAATAATTGCCAAACTGCAGTTAAAGTCGAAAAATTAAAAATGAAACACCTAAAATTTCATGAAACTCTGGGGGAAATGTGGATCGCGCTGTTTTGCAATGATGTTAGAATTATGTGCTATAATATGTAAAAAGGAAATCAACTAATGTAAA